TGTTGCAGCTTGTTCCTTCTGCAGCAAAAACCTTAAAGCGTGTCAAGGGAAATAAAGTTGCAGGGGAACAAATGGAAGACATTTTTGGCCATGCAAATAAAAACTTGACATTGGTTCAGTTGGGGTGATTATGTTGTGGGCGATTTTTGCTTTATCAAGTAATTTTACAGCATGTTTTTTTTTTCCTGATGATTTTAAAGGTAATACTAGCCAGTGCTGTAAAATAGGTTTCTTTTTTATATGCAATTAATCCTTGAGAGTTGATTTTAATTTTGCAAAATTGAAAAAAAAATTTACAGAACTGTTTAACAGTAGATTATTTTTTTTTAAGCCAATAGAAGTGGAGAGAATCCCTGTAAATATATCCAGGCATGCACAATCCTGCCTCCCCCCCTGCATAGAAATTACTTAGAGCCCATGGCAGCTATTAGGGAGCCATTTTAACAGGCTGTATCTTTGCCCCAGAAGGCTCTAGCGAAACGGAGAGCAAGAAGGAGCTGGCGCCGAGGCCATCGGGAAGGAGGGCAGGCGGCAGCGCCTCGGCAGAGAGGTGGGGAGGCCGCGTTCCCTGGCAGCAGCCCCGGCTCGGCTGTGGCGGGACACTGCCCTGGCAGGTGCTGGGAGGCTGTGGAGAAGAGCGGGAGCCGCGCGGCCCAGGTAAGGTGGAGCTCGTGGGGCGCTCCCCGGCGCGCGCTGCAAGGTGACAGCCAGCAGACCCTCCAGCCTCTCTTCTTCAGACTCTGGAGGCTCCTGTGTTCTGGCTCAATCCTCATGAGAGCCCTTAGCACGATTAAGTGAGGTAAAGGACACAAATTAGCCTGAAATTTCAGATAAGGAATCGGGAATCTTTTCTGCTCTCTCTTGATCTTGGTATCGTCCAAGATGACAAAGAATTGAAGCAACCACTCTGCAGACAGCACGATCTTTAACTAACTGGCAAACGTAGCTGCATAGTAACTGCATAAAGAGCTTCCTCTAGCTCAGGCTCTGTGCTGCTTTGGGTTGTTCTTTTTAGTATTGAAGCCGGTCAGTCCGTACGGCCTCTCCCCATGTTGATGTGACTGAATGAACCTTCTGCAAACACTTCTGACTAGCTTAGCATACACTGATTTGGGTTTCTTCCCATCCTGAAAGTCATAGATTTACTTGTCCTGAATTTTCTAATGTTTTATCTTTTTTTAAAAAAAAAGTGAACCCAGCTGTGGTTGAACTGTCCTGTTCTCTGGTTGTGGCACTGTATGGCAGCCATTTACAGTTTCAGGTTGCTCTCTCCCAGCATCTGCAGAGGCGAGTTGCTGTGCTGGGCAGCAGGCACGAAGGGTTAGGCCTCCTGGGTTACCTCGCTCCGTAGGTTGGGAAATCACAGGGCCGTGCAGAGCCAGAGGGACTGGAAGGTGGAGGCAGCTCCCAAGGACAAAGTGAGGCTGGACGGGGTGAGGCACCCTGTTCTCCCAGGGAGTTTTTATTCGCATGGCCTTCTTTCCATTGGCGTTTTCTCCTCTTCATCCTTTCTTTGCTCTCCCTCCTGCCCCCCCCAGATCAGTTAAGGGAAAAAAGCATGTGCTGTCAATTACTAGCATTCCAGATCATCACGGATTCTTGCCTGTTCTTGAACTAGTTTGAAACTGCACTGAAAGGATGCATTTGTCTGTAATTTTTTTTGTAAATGACATATCACCTGTAAACTCAACAAATAAATATTACCTTCAAGTACCTCTCTCTGACACGTGTAAGAGCAGGTTTGGGTGAAAAGGCTGCATGATGCTGATGGAGTGGCACAAACTGCAGGAGGCCTCTCTGTGCTTGCTCAAGGCTGCTCCAAGTCTGGGCAGAGCTCGTGACGACTGAGTCCCTTTTGACTTCTCTCGCCTGAAGCTCTTAAGAAAAAATGAGGAAGAGCCACGGGCTGAGCAAGTCTGTGATGGCACAAGGCTGATGTTGAGAGCTGAGGATTACAGGAGAGAGGAGACCCGGCCAAGAAAGCTAGGGTTCGGAGTAGATGGCAGCTATTGTTTGTATGGAGTGGGGCTTGGGTGAGGCTCCTCTTTAGTATGATAGAAGGGATTGCTGGCTTTCTTTTTTAGTATTTTTTAAATGGATGATGTAGCTGAGCTTAAAGAAAGACAGGTGTTCAGTGTGACGCTGGTAAAATCATGTAGGCAGCTAGTACTGGAGACGAGCATAAATCCTGGGCATAGAAGGTCTCGGGAAGCGGCTTCCCCGCATTGCAGCCTTGCATCTTGATCCCAGTCGCATCCAATCCCTCCTGTCCTTGTTGAGATGCAGAGACGAGCTTGTCCAAAAGGCAGCAGAAGTTGTGATTTGAAGCACTGAGATCTAATTGCAGGTGGAAGGTGAAGGGGGATGGAGGACGGCTCAAGGAGCTGAGCTGTAACTTGCTCTGGAAGCATTAAGAGCAGCTGAGACAGTTTAGCTGTGAGTGGCCTCCCTCGTGGCACTGGTTACCAACATCCCTGCTAAATCCAGGCACTAGAGGCATTGCTGTATTTTCTGCCTTGCCTTTGAAAAGAGTTTAAAACTTTAGCAGGGTGGCTATAGGGCAGTCTTCTGTATTTATAGAATATTGGTGTATCTGTATAATATGGTGACTTTAAAGTGCCTGTGTTCTGGCAGTACCTTTTTTTTTTTTTTTTTTAAGGAGTTGCTGTTACTTCAGCTGTTCTCTAGCTAAGGATTGATTAGGCACCTTTTCATTTCGGGAAAAAAAGAGATCCCAGTCCATTTGTATCTGTTTTAGGAGTGGAGTTACTGGAGGTGCTCCAAGAGCCCTGATAGAACAAGGTGTGTGGTGGGAAACCATCCTGCCTTGGACTGCGCATGTGTCCCCCTCTGAGGTTAACTCACCAGAGAGGCCATTTCAAGTTGTCACCTGTCCCCTCCCCTCAGGAATGGAGCATGGGAGGATGCTGCAAGCACAGCACGAGTGGGCACTCTATTTTAGTGTGTGCAGCCTGTGCTTGGCACAGTCTGAGGGATGAGCTCTTGGGAACATTGTGCTGCTTTAATCCTGCACAGCCCGTGTTTAGCTGAATGAGCTGGGGGAGAAGGGGCTGGGGAGAGGAGCCTGCTGCAGTATCTCAGAAATACAGGACTGGATGAGGGGCTCCGGGTTAGAAGCTGGAGCCCTGCGGGGACAGGCACTGGTGCTGACTGCTGAGTATGTGCAGGGGCCCTGACTTAGATGGAGAATTGTTTGTTTTTTATATTTATTTTTCAACCAATAAATTTTCATTTCACCTTACATTGTGACTTTTTTTCTTAGATTTCTTCTATGGTCTGTATACTGAAATGCAAGGCAAGCTCGGATACAGGAAGCTTGCTGGGAGGGAGCTGCCACGGGCTGCAGAATGATGTGACCTGTCCTTCGAGGACATGCAGATCATAAGGCTTTGAGGATATCCTTAGTGTTCAGCTTAATTTAATCATTGCTTTCCATTGAGGTGGCTGGGGCTGCCAGGGGCCACATGCAGCTCAGTTCAGAGAAGTCAAAAGAACCTTAAGGAACTGTATCGAGGCAACAGCTGTGGATAAGCATAAAGGAAAAGGTAAGGCCGTTTGGGGAAAACTGATGGGGACGAGGTAGAGGAAAACCTCCTCCCTCAGGCCACCTCCTTCGCATTTCTTGTACTTCGGAATCTCCTTTAGCCTCATTGCTTGCTTTATCGTGGTTGCTGTAAACCAGGAATACTGGAAAACTGGGAAGTCTTGCGGCAGAAGCTGGGGGTAGTTCTGTGTGCTCCACCTGCTTCTCACCTCCCCTTTCCTCCCCTCTCCGAGAAAAAAGCACCAATGGCAATTCTTTTTTTAATTTTTTTTTCTTAAGCTGGAAAGAGCAGTGTCAAGAAGGCCTCCTTGTATGCAAACAGCTCTCTCAGAAACTGCTAGCTTCGTTTTGAGTATTTTAAAATCATCTTTAATAAATGATCAGTTTTTCTTTCTAGACAGAGCAGTGGAATAAGGAAGATTTCACATGCAGTTGATGAGAGCTGGTTTTTGACAGGGATAGTTTATTCTGCCATTGAGCTAGTACCTGCGTCTCTGCTACCTGTCACTTGTGACACCAAGGACAGAAAGACTCACTGCAGTTAATTTTCCATCCTTTGCCTGGCTCCTCTCACCTCTTTCTAAGCTGAGGACTTTCAGGCCTTAAAGTCAATTCAGGCACAACATGAAGGCAGTCGTGGCTTTTGGTTTAATTCTCCTTGCCATGTTACCGTTGCTTGAGCAAAACGGTAGCGCAGAGCAGCGTTGGCAGCAGTTGCATCGAGGGGAACATTATGGATGGTGCAGAAAAGGCCCAAGAGCCCAGGCCTGCTAGGGATCCTTCTGGAGCAGCCGCTCTCCTCGGCTTCCTCGTGCACTGTCATCAGGCAGCGCAGAGCAGAGCGTGGCCTCTTTTGCCTCCTGTGTTAAAATGCAAGCTATAACCGCCCGTTGTAAGCGGACACTTCTGTATCCTTCAACTGCTTGTTTAGGTATGTACAGCTAAGGCAGGAGAAGTCGTACTTCTGGGCTACTTGGTAACTCACGGACAAATTCAAGGTACTAAAGCCAGATTTGCAGGCTCTTCTCAGGTGACAAGGTTGTCATTTTCACTTCCTACAAAAAAGGTCCCAGAAACTCAGAAAACAAGAGAGATAAACAGTGCTTAGAATTATGATGCCTAAACAGCAGTGTTAATTGAGATAATTTGACCTCTAGCTTTGTTCTGTTGCCAACTATTGATTTTATATATATATATGTGTGTGTATATGTATGTATATATATATATATATATATATATACACACATACATACACACATGTTGGCTCAGAAGCTCTATTTGAACTGACTTGCAGAATTATACCTCTAAGAATGGCTCTTTTTTTCTTTTATAAAGTTAACTCGTGGACCAGCAGCCTCTGGAGCAGCCAGGTGAGGAAGGCTGAAGGGGAAGGCAGCAGCCATGGCACCCCTGGAGCCTCCCCTTCCCTCCAGCTTCACTTTTTCACCTCCAGGCCATACAGATCGTTGCGCTTCTGGTTCAAAACCGGGATTTGCTCACGGATTTCCGCAAGCTTCTTCAGATCTGCAGGGAGAAGAAACAGCCATTAGAAGATGGTCAAAAACGACTGCAAAGTGGCCGGGAAAGGAGCAGCTTTCACAGTGCCTGTTCCTGTTGGTCCCAGGACTGGGCAGCCAGGGCCAAATAAACCTGGGCTTCGTTCTTACCCAGTGAGGGAGGTGACCTTAACGCCAGAGTCTTCTCTTAGAGGGGAATAAAGTAGGGAAAATCCTGCCAGCTTACCTATATCTGCGTACAGAATGGCCTCCTCGGCACCAGCTTTGGCAATAACTTCCCCCCTGCAACATCAAGCATATCAGTTGGGAGTGTTAGCACAGGGGTGTCGAGGCAGCAGTGCAGTCACTGGCATTAGTATGAGAGCAAGGCTCCCCCTACAGAGCTGGGGCTGGAGGGACAGGGCTGTCCTAAAAATAGCATTGTAATTCCTCACTCCTGCATGAAAGGAATAGCTCCCGAGTTTTCATGTAACATATACATGCTTAAGGATGCTTCCATAGATCAGGAAGAACTGCCCCCATACAAGGACCCACACCTGTGACCCTACAGGGAAGGAGATAACTGCAGCAGGGACAATCGTATACAGTAAGGACCAAATCCTTCCCCTTGTCAGACCCTACTGGGTTTTAGTAGAAGTGACTTTATGCTCTGCATGATCTACTAAACACCTAGAGCAAGGCTCCACCAGGAGCAACACCCTTGCTTATCAGCATGTGAAGTTAAAAGCTCTGAACACAGCTTAAAATATTTTGCTTCCTTTCGACACTTTAGAAGAGTAACATGAGCGAGTGGTGTGATTTAGAGGGGAGAAAAAGAATTGACTGAGGATTTTGCTGCTTTTACCCAGGGCCAGTCTGGCACACAGGAAAAAGCTACTGCAGCTTAAGTCAGAACAGGCCTCGTCCAGTTGAAGACACCCTTGCATTTCCTAGGCCTAAGCAGGGTTGTTCTTTGAGGAGGTTAAATAGCTTTGTGTAAAGGTTATAGATGGTTCTGTTCTGGACAGACAGTTATCACAGGACATAGTATATAATAGCATGAATTTCAGGGACAATTTGAGGTCAGCAGCTTTACTAATACTTGATGTTACAAAAGTAGCTTCTGTGCTTCCAGTGAAAATGCATATTATTAAACTACTTTTACTGGCTCTCTAAAAAATATATATATTAAAAAGTATGAAAAAGATGATTTTGAAAGCATAGCTTAATGCAACCTTGTCTGTTTTTGTCACTAATGAATCTGGCTGCCGCTTTTAACAAAAACTTAAGATGTTTTTAGAAGTGGAAATGTGAGACTGAAATGTGACTGTCAAGTTAAACACTTTTTAACCAAGAGAAAACAATCTTTTTTTTCTGAACTCACCATGGATTTACTACAGTGCTGTGTCCCCAAGCAATGTAGGAAGCATTTTCATCTCTAGCAGGAGAGGCAGTGGCTACATAGACTTGATTATCAAGAGCTCTGTGTTCAAAAAAAGATAGGGAAGAGGGAAAAGTCAGTGACATTTCTGCCTAGTTAAGTGATGATATGAAGAAAAGTCAGGCTGGAGGGATGAGCTCTACCTCCTTCGAGGAGTAGCAATGACAAACAGAAAGCTTAGAAAGAGAAGGCTCTAGCACCTGCCCCTCACAGTTAGGCTACAGCAAGTTATGTATTTGTCTAGTAGGTATGAAAGGTGAGTGAAGCAGAACACATGAATAAATTTGTCTTAAGGAAAGAGTCCTGCAGTCAGGAGCCTTGGGGCTTGTTTCTATCTTTCATTACAGCAGTTCTTAGATGGTTAATGCAGGTTTACACCCCTTCTGTCTAGAAGGGCATGTGTGACTGGTGCTCACAGTACCCAGGGCACAGCTGTGGGCAGGAGTGAAGGACGAGCAGCTCCTTCCTCCTGGGCATCACAGTTGGGGTCCCCTGCAAGGCCTGTGCAACGGTGATGCCACAGTGCTACTTGTTGTGCATAATTGTGGCTTAGAGAGTCCAAGAACTGTTCAGCCCTATGTGCTAAACGCACTATGGACCAGGAGCATAAGCTGGTAGCTTGTCCTTACCGTCCCCTTTGTAGTAGTTCCCAGTGCGCTGGTCCTGTTGTCAGGTTAAAAGCTCCCGGATACACCAACAGCTGGCAACCTGTGTTAAAAGAAAATCAGAGCCCAAACATCATTAAGGGGAAAACGGTTTATCCTCCGGTCACCCGTTACAGCCGGGGGTTAAGGCAAGCTTTCTGTCTTTGTTTAATGCTAGCCTTGTTGCACAGGCTGCTTTTTTTTATCATTTGTTTTACTTGAGTGCCTGATCCCACCTAGGGATTCCCCACTAGGTACCACCCTGGCCCAGCTCTGGCCTTGGGGCTGCCCCAGTCTCACCTTTCTGCCCGTAGATCTGAGCCAGCTCAGCAAACCTTATGTCGTAGCAGATGCCCAGGCCCACTCTGCAGTACGCTGCCCTCAAAGCACAGGAAACAACAGTCACACCACTGCCCAAGCACACAACTGAAATCCACCTTTCCCTGGAGCCACCCTGCCAGCTGTTAATGAACATGTGTCACAGCAGGTATGTTTAAATGCCTTTCCTTATGCACAGCAAGCATCAAGAGGAGTAGGTGCGTCACATTCGCATTTGATATGATTCATGCAAAAATGTTGAAATGAGTTTCATAGTTAATTTTTTTTCCATGATTGTAGCAGCTTCACATGAAACAACATGCTAGTGTAGCTGTTTGCTACATAAAAAAATATGGCTTGGAAAAGAATACAAGCACTGTTTACACAGATGTCATTTCTAGAAAAAATATGGTAACTACTCTAGTAGAAAGCAACACAATCTTGTTTATTAACAGAAGCAGGATGACAGGTGCTTCATCCTTTTCTGCTCTTCTGGTCCTTTCCAAACATGTTGCCTTTACAAAGAGATTCAGAAGCACTTCGCGCACGTGAAATAAACAATCTCTATGGGCCGTGGTGGTCAAAGGCCTGATATAAATCCAACCACCTAAGAATGCTGGGGGCAGAGGAGCTCCAAAGCACTGTCTCAAGCCTGTCCCGCTGCGTCATTGCGGCCGTGTTCCTGGGAGAGAGGGCTTGTCTTGTACTCACGAGTATCAAATGTAGAGAAAGTGTTCCCTGGACTCAGTGTTTCCGACTCTTTGAACTGTATCTTCCCAGGAACATTAATGTCAAACAAATGAATCTGTAATTAGAATGTTATAAATGTCAATTAAGAGCAATTTCTCTGCTTGGTATTTGAACTCGTTCACGTTAGAGCCATACATTTTCTAGTCAGCTTCACTCAGACTACTCCCTCTCTTGCCAGGATCCCTGTTAACCATCGCTGAAGATTTAAATCATCTTTAGGAAATGAAACAAGCAGTTTTCTTTACATGTCTAAAATTATTTGGGGGAAAAAATACTGGGGGTTTTAAACATACCACATGTATATCATGTTGCTTACCAAGCAGAATGCCCAGTTCTTGTACTATGCAATAACAATAGGTAAAAATAGCTAAAATATGTAACGACTTAGTTGTAGAATGCATTCACATTTTCAGGGAAAGAATTCATGCAAACTAGCTACCTTTCCTGATCTACTGAGCAGTTTTGAGACAGAAGGGCTACATATTATATGTCTTGAGCTTGCCAGGATGATCTTAAGAGCAGAATGTTAAAGCACAAGAGAACTAACTCCTCTCTTACATGGTTAGAGTCCCATTCCTCCTAACTTCTTCAGAAAATACCCTCACAAAGTCATGGAGCTCCCATCATTTCAGCTATGCAGATGTGTCTTGATCTTTGCAGTCATTCTCTCTCCCTTGCAAAAGAGAGTTCTGTTCCTGAGTGGGACCTCCTAACACTGAAGCTGTTTTAGTATTATTATTACTTCCTGTTTATGCGGCCACCCTCCACAAACAGCTGGCACAGTTCAGCTACAGCACTTGTGCAGACGAGTCCAAAGGGCTGTCTCCAGGTTATACCTACAGCACACAAAAATGTCTAAAGAACAGTCTCTGTGATAACAGAAGGGCTAAGTCCAACGGGAACCCGAGGCAAAAAATCCTGATCCCACTGAAGTAGCACTGGATTTCACACCTTAACCAAGGTAAAAAGGCAAGCCGAGTTAGATCGGGATTTACTCTTTATGACAGATTTCCAAGCACATGGGACAAACCTTTTGTGCCCTCTTATCTTTATCCAGCATATGAGAAAGGGTATTTTCATACCCCAAAGAAAAACTGCATGTCCTTATTAACCACAGCACACTTACTATTCCTGCAAGATTCTCCTATTCACATCGTCTTTAGGCATAGATGAAGTCACTGGTGCCTTCTAAAGAGAAAATACAGTATCTTTTTTGGGGGGGCAATGCAGCTAAATACTGTCCATACCAATAAGAAACCTTCTAATAACAACATTCTGCCACCTTACCTTCCTATACTTGGTCAACATAGCTCCATCAGGCCCAAAGACAGTACAGGTATTATACAGCTTTCCAGCATCCTCTTCCGGAATGGATCCTTTATTAAAGCAAAAACAAGAATTTGGCACTGTAATATAGAGTTTTGATGCACCTGTACAAATAGATGTGGCCCATTTTCCTCCCTCAAAGAGATGGTGACTAGAAATAAGCTACCTCCAACAAGATATACGTTACACTCCTTTGCGGTTTCTGAGAGTTTGTGTGTCGTTTCTCCAGGGATGTTCTCTGCATATTCCTTGAAGAAGTGCGTTCCATAAGGAGAGTTAAAACATTCCTGGAATTGGAAAAAAAGAAGTTAAAAACTGATGCCACCAGCAGGTACACAAAGATTTTTAAATGCCTCTCTAGCGTCATTCTCCTATGACCTTTGGCTTCACAGGAGCTTGCTGAACAGTTCTGCAAACATCAGAGAGGCAACAGACAATATGTGACAACTGGGGCAAACACAGCCTGGGCAGAACTGAGCCAGGAGTATCAGGCAAGCTGTTAGTAACAAGGGTAGCATATTTATCAGTTCACACTTGACAAGGTTACAAGGAAGCTTCTCAGAGCCCTGAAGCAAGTCCCACCCAGCTCATCTGATACTTTGCAAACTGAACAGATTCTCTCAAACTGTGAAATTCTTGTGCTCAGCCACAACCTACATTTTCTTAATTGTTTACAGGACCTGTTCAAAACACAGATTTCTCAAAATCTTTTGCTACACCAATCCTTTAAATACCAGGGTGACAGAGCACTGCAACAGGCTGCCCAGAGAGGTTGAGGAGTCTCCTTCTCTGGAGATCTTCAAAACCCACTTGGACGCAGTCCTGTGCCACGTGCTCTAGGTGACCCTGCGTGTGCAGGGGGGTTGGACTAGATGACCTCTAGAGGTCCCTTCCAACCTTAAGCATTCTATGAATCTATGGTAACTGAGCCAAGCTTTCTGGCTTAGACTCTAGCCTCTCTCAGAATAAGCCATATACTCTTTAGACAGTAAGATTAAGAGAGCAATTTAGATGCTAAGGGTGGCTGATGGTACTTGAGAGGCCCAAGACACCCAGAGCTCACTCTGCACCACATTTGCCACCCCTGCGTGGACCTGAGACCCTCACCCCCAGATTCTTATGAACTGAAGATCTGAACAAAAGCTGTTTTTTTGCCACATGCACAGATGCACAAAGCAGAAAACAGCTAGTTCACAGCAGAGTTTGTGGATGGCTGATGAAGAGGGGAGGTCTCTGCACTGTCAAAGGGGTTTCTCAGCCTTTTGGAAGCTGGCGTGCCCTTCAGGAAAATGAAATCAACGCCAGTTGCTTCACCTTCTTCTTGCCACTTGCAACAGCAATGTGGGTGGCAGTAAAACCACAGTGCTGTATCGTAAGATAATGCTGGAATATGACTGCACACTGCTTGCATGGATCCCCTAGTCCCATGCTCTGCCCAATAGGAAGAAGGCAGGGATAAACCTTTAACTGCCTTCAGTTTGTTGCTTGATTCAAACAGGTTTTATTATTTATTGATCTATAAATATTATTATTATAAATATTGCTTTTGTCCAACACATCTCCAGGTTCTGAAGTGAAAAAAAAATACCCACGGGGGCAGCATGTCATAGGAAAACTGCCACATGCCACAGCACACCCTGCATAAGTCTCTATGAAGAGTGATTTTGAGAAATAAAATATATGGAGGGAAGAGCCTCCTCATGGCAATAAGTTTACCTCCCCCAAACCTGTGAAAGGGCGGCCCCATTTGAGAGGGCTTATTTTATAAGCATAAAGTACCATTAGCAAGATGCGTATCTCTACTAAATAGGGCCAGAAAAATCTGTCCACATTTGTCCATGTGACAAAACTAACAAATAATAGTTAATCTCAGTGTAGGAGGCCCAGACAGGATAGTCAAAGGTCGTATGTGCAAAACCAGAGCTGTGTTGGTACAAAGCTGCACAGAAGCTTGCTTAATAATTGGCCTGTGACAGCAGCATGGAGAATATTCTTTGTATAAAATATTCCCACCTAAAGATCACCCAACTATGAACTTTGCACTGCCGAGGCAGATGCTGCAGGGCACAGGGGTAACAATTTTCCTCCAAAGGAAAAATCTCCCAGCCACACCGCAACACTGCCAACACACATGGCAAGGCAATCGTGGGTGAAGCCCCAAAGGCAGACCAGAATCAGTCAGCAATTTTAAGTGCTGATCATCGCGTTCCTATACAATCACGCCATGCAAGAAAGGCATTTTTGATGATAATTCGGCCACAAACAACCTACTGGAAACATCTGAAAGGCCATTTTATTTCTCACGTGCTGCCTGATCTGAAAAGGTTGTGGCAAGGAGACACACTGGGTGCTTGTTTTTTCTGTCGCTTTTACATCGGCATTGTTTTACCGAAAAAACGTATTTTCCTAAATTCCTTCTGCAAAGATAGAGACCATAGACTCACTTTTGTGATTCCAAACAAACCAGTCAGGGCTGATGGAATTGCCAGGGATTTAAACCAGCACAAACTCCATTAGAATCTCATCCCACAAAAATAAATATACTAAACTAAACTGAAAGAGAACCTGCTGCCTCCAGCTGTCTGGGTCTCCTCGCTGCTACTAGATATAGCCTGGCATATTCATTCCTGTTCTTTTTTGTTTGTTTTCGAGCCTGTTACAGTATTCAAGCATACCTAGAAAGAACTGGGAATAAGCACACATGATTAACACTGGAAAAAGAGGTTTCCAAGGGCGTGAGGTATAAGATCTTTACTCACAGGCAGAGCCACAACTTGAGCTCCTTTTGCTGATGCTTCTTTCACCATCCTGCAGGCTCGCTGCAGGTTGTCGGATTTGACGGTGGATACTTGAAGCTGAATGAGCGCCAGACGAAAGTCTAGTGACAGAAAAGAAACAACTGGCCAGTGAAATCGCCCAGGTAAAACACAGCAAAATTTGAATTCATCAGTAGGTGTGGAACAAAATTCATTTGCCTATGGTTAGGTACATCATGCATATGTCTACCAACTCATTATTCAGTCAATATGTGACTCTGGCACAGGCTCGAAACATGGAGAAACACTCAAACCTAGGCTTGCCACACGGGAACCACACACATCATCACTTGGCTCTACTCAAAGCTCACACGGGCCACACGCTAGTAATGCGGTAGATCCCACTTAGCCTAGGAAGCATCGAACCGAAGATCTCACGTAAAAAACGTGTGTAATAGTAAGCAGGAGAGGAAAACTGGCCAGTGAAATCGCCCAGGTAAAACACAGCAAAATTTGAATTCATCAGTAGGTGTGGAACAAAATTCATTTGCCTATGGTTAGGTACATCATGCATATGTCTACCAATTCATTATTCAGTCAACATGTGACTCTGGACACAGGTTCTGAACATGGGGAAACACTCAAACCTAGGCTTGCCACATGGGAACCACACACATCATCACCTGGCTCTACTCAAAGCTCACACGGGCCACGCGCTAGTAATGCGGTAGATCCCACTTAGCCTAGGAAGCATCGAACCGAAGATCTCACGTAAAAAACGTGTGTAATAGTAAGCAGGAGAGGAAACCCCTTAGCAGCCTAGCCCACCTTCTTCCTTCCCAGCTCGTTACATGTTTTGTTGGTGTGTCTCTTGGCTGTGCCCACCACCTCACACAATGCATCTCTTAAAATGCTGCTGGGAAACTTGAAGATTGGGATTACCCCCAAAACAGCCAGAAAAAGGGAAGGATTTGCTTTCATTTGTCAAATGTCACACCAGGCCTGGGAAAGAGGTATGAGGAGCCATCAAACAACAGTGGTAACAATTACACGGGCAATTTCTTTATAATTTGGTTTCTAGACAAGGGAAAGATACAAGCGCTATCAACACTGTCTCTACTGTGACTAAACAGGATTTATATTCGCAGGAGTCTCTAGGTTACAAGACCTGGAGAGATCAAATCGAGCTTTTTGGGTGCCCCTGACACTCTCTCTCATGAATCTCCCAGCACCTTGGCCTCCAGAAAAACACTTTCTCATAAGGTAGAGCTGTCTACTTTTAAACAAAAATGTGGTGGCTCCATAAAGAGAAAATCCCAAGGTTTAAAGCATCTCTCTTCTGAAAACTCCCCTGTTGTAAAAAGGCAACTCTGGGGGAAAAGCAGCAAGCAGCACAGCTGCAAAGCCTGATCTTGAGGAGTACTCAATCGGGTCACGAACACCCGGGCAATGTCTTTCTTTTGTTCTTCAGTTCTCAGTTCAGCAGCCAACTAGTTGATTCATTAAATAAGGCAAATGAGGCAATCTGTGATTCTGCCACTGCATGAGACACTGTCTGAATACTTAGCCTAGTGAGTAAACAAACTTTTCCCGAGACTAGGCAGATGCAAATGCAGCAGCTTTTTACCCCATTTAGGTAGCAATAGCAGCAGCTTGTCTGAATCTTTTCCTTCAATAATTGAAGAGATGAAGAGAAATCAGACTCGAAGATTTGTTCTTCAGCGTAAACTCTGCTTTTGCAAAAAAGCAAAAGTACATCTACTGAATAAAATTATAACTGACTTCCCTCCTCTAGTGAGGGAGAGCCATTTGAATTCCTATGTGAGGAACCACATACCTCAGGCTCCCTGTGCCTCGGGCATGGTTAGTAGAAAGGGCAAAAATTAAAGCGCCCTCTCCAGTTACATGCTGGCAAAAGACTGGCATTAAAACGTGGAGGCGTAAGAGTACCGGAAACACAGCGCAAAGTGCAAGAAGACACGCAACATCTCCTCTTCCTGAGCCGCTCCAAGAAAATAAAGCAGAAAATAAGCAAATAAACAGAAATCAGTCGTTAGGGTAATGCTACAGCAGCACAAGCCACGGCCAGGTTAGCAGTACGTGGGAGTAAAACATTTTTGTACCACTCC